CAATAAATTGTGTTCAATAAGACTTTGCTGAAATCATTGTATTTTGCACTTTATAGCCTTATAAGGGACACGCATTTATTGAATACGTGTGGTATTTCTCTTTAAAAAACGTTCGGGTTGTAAATTTGAGTTATCTGGAACGAACAAGTTGTTCTAGACTTTACGCTTCCAATGTCTACAGCGCATCAGATGAATGTGGTGTGTGCCTCATCATATAACAATAACTAAGGTTATACGATTACGAGGAACATCGTGTTGAAGAACTTTGAAAATTTGGGTCACCTGTGGTTTCTCTAACATGCAGCTGAATTCAAGTGCATACTCCTCTAGCATTTACCTCTAAGGCCACTGCAACGGTTTTTTTAAATATATATGGTTGAATTTTAAAGAACAAAAACGCAATACGGCTTAATTAATGCAATACCTGCAAGATTCGGGCATCGTATTCGCATCTCCGACATGTGGCACCGCATTATCCACAGAGCTGGTGCTTTAATTGCCCACTCGTAATAACCTTAGTGCACTATCACTGAAGATAACTCCCGCAACAACAAATTAAGGGCAAGAACTCCCTTTAACACTGTGCATAGGATCCATTACGTCGCGGTGACCGGTCAAATGTAAGGTCCCTAGATGAAACAAGGTAGCGTCACTCATTGTTCTCGAGCCGTCCTCCTCACTCTCTCGATTACTGCTCTTTTTCTCTGATATCCGCGTCTGTGATTGGTGCATTACTTGCACGTGATCTTGCAAATGGCTGGTGGTGTTATTTATTCTTATGCAAAAGGTTCAAAACGAGTACGCATGCGCATATGGCTCCAGCCGGATTCTCGCCGTGACCAAAGACAAAATCGTAGCCAGAACATAAACTGAAGAGGAGGAGCGTTTTGGTGTGCGCTAAGTCAACCAAGATTGTTTCGCCATGCTCGTTCAATGCAACATCTGCGTTTTTCAGCAATGCTGCGTTGCCGTAAACAACAGAAAATAGTTTCGCTCTCTTCAACAAACCTCGTGCTTTCAGTGATTTCCGAGATGAAGCGCACCATGAAGTGCAACTATGAACCATTTCACGCGAATGCTTTCGTGCAACTCCGTCAACGTATGTCGACGCGGATCTGCGAAGCGAGTTCACTTGTCGGTTTTTATTGAAACGCCAGGCGCGCGTCTAATGCGTGTCTAGTGCATGCCAGTTGGTACAAATACATGTGGGTATGCACTTATACAGAACAGCTGTAGGTTGTAATCGACGCACCTTCAGAAACATTTCACTGTTGGCCAGTTCCCGCTTGAGCCGAAACGCGCTGCTTCACCTCACCAGTAGAACTCTTACTTTTCAGGAATCAGAATCACTTGGCATCACGATTGTCCAAATGGGCACATTTAAAAAAAAAAACGTCATCGCAATGCTGCTGGACGAGTGTTCGTTCCAGTCTGGTCGTAGTTTTTTTTTTCTTGCGTGTGCACAAGCCGGTTGTAATCAATCGTCACAACGTCACGCCCTGTGGCCACTTACAAGATCCAGCAAGAAGCACGTACACTGTGTCACAGCACGAACAAAACACAATCAGAGAAGTGGACTAGTTAGAACTGGACGAAATACCGCGGCCGTGGAACTAAAATGTACTACGCAAGACGCCATGGCTAGTGGTGTAAAGTATAGAACTGCCCAACGTTGCCGGTTGAGTACCGCACATCCCGCTTGCTCTTGTGTTGTGCCGTTTATGTTCATAAAGGTAACTGTTTATTCTACGTCTTATTTCGTTCCATTTTGCTTCATTTACATCTATTCACCGTAGTAACAGAACCAAAACATTCGCTTTTGGATGAAAGTTTTAAACCTTCTAGGGGGCGCTTCAGCCAAATAAGCGAGGAGGAAAAGGGAGGGTGTCGCTACCTTGGAAACTTGTTTCATCTAGGGACCTTAGTCAAATGGCATCGGAAGCGCCACCTAGGGAGCGGGCAACGAAAGGGGCCGCGTTTCACCGCCTCGTCCCAGCGAAGTTTGCAAACTGAAGAAGAATCTAGCAACCTTGCATGCGTACTCGTTTTGAAACTTTTGCATAATAATAAATAACACCATCAGCTGTGCCCAAGCTATATATGCAAAAGTGAATGCCAACACGCTCCATCAGAGAAGTGCCACTATATTTTTATGTGGGAATGTGCCAGAAGATAGTGCTGAGATTTCTGTATAAAAATGAAGAACCACTTCAATCATGGAGCCATCTGGCGTTCACTTTTTTGTAGCTTGGCCACAGTTCGCATGCTCTGTTTCAAGGGCGAAGCTCCTAAAGGCTTTGGTATGCCCTTCTGCTGTGACCGGATCGTGTACGCCTAGTTAATGGATGACAAAACAGGTGCCGCTAGTGCGAGTGAAAGAGGGATGCACGGACCAACAGACAAACAAGTCCGTGGTTTAGCGATAAAAACCCTCCATAGCTTCGCCCGACTGATCATCATTCACTCCGTATATATTCTGTGATTTTTTTTTTTGAATGCGAAGCATCTCTTGGCAAACTTGGGCGACTTTGGCCGAATCTATCTATCTATCTATCTATCTATCTATCTATCTATCTATCTATCTATCTATCTATCTATCTATCTATCTATCTATCTATCTATCTATCTATCTATCTATCTAGCCACCTACAACTTCTAACTCTCCTCGCCCTGTTGGATAATGGCATCGATACCAAACTTGATATGATATAAGATTACTGCATGACAAACATAACTGACTCGTCATAACATTAAAGTCATGATATGTATGTCATAAATGTCATGATTTACATGTCATCGTCTTGCTGCTCCTGCGGTATAGTTTCATTCACATGATATGTTGCAAAACTGGTATGGTTTGACAAGAGTGCATGGCGAACACAAGTGACAGACCCTAACAACAAAATCATGACATGCGTGTCATGTGACAACGTGACTAAATGCCACATTCATGATGTGCTCGTGGCCGTTTTGCTAGCTTTGCATATACCCAATTTGGTATATGCATATGTCTGTGTTTCGCTAGCTTTGCATATACCCCACTGCGCAAAACTGTCCCTCCCCTCCCCTCTCTCTCACCTTACAAGGCTGACGGAAGCAGCGTCAGCTAGTTTCTCCATGGAGTGAATGATGATGTGTGGGGCAGAACTTCGGAAAGTTTTATCGTTGAACTGTTATTCGTCCGTCCATCCGCCCGTTCGTTGGCCACATGTGTTTGTCTGTGTAGTTGTCCTCAAAGAAGGTTTTAAACCTCCTTTGTGTACAATCTAAGTACCGCCGTCTTGAATTTTTCATCACTTTGTCATCTTGTATACTAGTACCGCCATTTAGCGGACATTCCAAGAACTAAACGAGAGGTGGCTAGCATCTACATAAATCTATAACTCATGACCCACGGCTTAAAAAACTTCGCCCCTAAAAAAAATGTAAGACTCACGTATAGAGAGAATCAATTATATGCGAAGTACGAGTGAGAAAAGTAGATATGTCACTTCAATATCAGCACAACGTTACAAGGCGGACGAACGTAGTACACACTAAACACAAGTCGAAATGTTATGCGCACTCACGTATTTAGAGAAAATGCAAGTATGATGTTTATAGTCACGTAACGACGGCACCACAGACGTTTGGAATACCAGCACCAGCCTTAATAGGCAAATAAATTATGCCGTGCATGACCCCCATGTCATGATTATCATGTTTGCGCCTGGCAATCAGGTTCGTCGTTCATTCACGTCTTGTAATACCGAATTCGGTGTGTGTAAAGTTAGTGAAATATCCATGACTGCGCTGTGAGCTAAGCATGTAGTCATGTTTTACATGACACGCGTGTGAGGATTATCATTTTTGCACCCGTACCTGTCATTTACCTCCGTTGTCCGTTCACGTCACAACTACTACTACAAACATCGCAGATCCACCACCCACGGCTTAAGGAGTTTGGCCTCTAAGACAAGTGCCAGGCCTGCACGGAAGGCGCAGCGCAGTCACAGTGAAAGCAGAATAGCGGTCTTTCAGAGCCGTTGCTAAGCACTCATTGGGTGACTGCTGCAAGCACACTTCCTTGATATTCATTACGACATCATTATTATAAATTTTTGGGTATTACGCCGGCGTTCGCTATGCTATTTTTTGTCATTGTTCTCATCACGCGCTCCCTACTGTTTTCATGCCACGGCCGCCGTAGAGCAAGCTCATCTGCCCGAGAACCTCGGGCCGTCCTGCACAGCACCGCATGACGGAGATCTTCAGAGTATAATTTTAGTAATTCGTTGAACGTTGCATGCTCGTAGAAATTGTTATTACGAAAAAAATAGCATTCTGTTTTCTGTAGTATGCTTTTAGGGACGAAGCTGCTTACACTGTGGCTCAGTCCGTCCTCCATAGTAGCCACCCGTTACTTCTCACAATGTATACACTAAATGGTGCTACGCTGTTGCAGCCCGTAGAGTGCCTCGACGGGCACGCAAATCGAGGCTATCTGACAGGGCGTGAAGTGATCACTAGATGCAGTGGACGCGTGTTATGCGTGGTTGAGTTTGATAGGAGTTTGACCGGATGGCGGACGAACAGATGACGCTGAGCTGAGAGTCCGCGAAGCTTCGATAATCATTCACTTTGTGAATATGGTTTGACTTATTTATTTATTATATGAATATTCATTCAGATACGCACAGCACCTACGGTCAACATTACCTAAAAAATTACAGGAAAGACTCAACCAGGCGTAACAGCTCGCTGCCAGGGGCGTAAATAGCGATTTTCGTGGTGATGCGGGTGTCCATACTTTCCTTCTTTTATTTTTGTTCGTGCGTGCACTTCTATTTGCGCAAATACATACGTTTAAAATAAGTAAAAAAAAACTCAAGTTGAGATTCTTTATTTTCCTGAATCAACCCCTCACTACGCCACTGCATAGCGGCGACGTCAATCGATCGGCATGAAGCATAGCAGACGAAAGCTTCGGGCATGCTGAAGAAACAATGCTCGATACTTACTCGCACTGAGCTGTAAAAAGACGGTCGCTCTCATGGTACATTTCCAGGAGAGGCACCAGCAGGTGCCACGTGACGTCGGGGGCATTCTTGCATGAACTGTAAAGAGAACCAGTGACTGCACTTAATCCTATCGCCTCGTACCCTTCTAGAAACGATTGTTTTCAATGTTAGGCGAATGAAGTGAGTCTGAGTCTTTCGGCAACCCCTTTGACTCTTTTGATTGAAAGACTTCACCTGGACATTCTTGTGTCAGCTGGACGGGAGCGCTTTCACTGTCGAGGTATTAGGGCCATCGTGCTACCCATTGCAGTTTCTGAAGGAACGAAATCACTGTTGCGTTTTCTCAAGGACACCGGTCTGATTCGTTGTCTGCAATGTCAAGCGTGAAATTGGCACGCGTCGGCTGAAGCAGCGACTCTTCTCTCCTCTAACTTTTTCCCCCTTACCTCTTCACCCCTGCCGGATAGCCTACCATGCTCAGCCCAGGGTAACCTCTCTACCTTTGTCTTTATTCACTCACTCTCTCTAACTCTCTTTCACCCCAAAGTTTCACTGCAAAGCGAAAAAGGTTGGCGTGCCTAGCTCATTCGGTAAATTATTTTAAGGAAAGCCATCATATGACGAGCTTCCTGTGTGGTGGAGGAGGTACAAAGCTGAAACCAATGATAGCAGTTCCCAGAATAGCTGCTCGTTACAAAATAGGAGCCGTACGCAGCTCCAAATAGGAGCCTACATATGTCCCTCTACTAATCTCGTTTGTACGGCTCCAAATAGGAGCCGTACAAACGAGATTAGTAGAGGGAGATATGTGAGTAGATTTAAGGGACGCTAAAGAGAAAAAACTGCTTTTCCTCGCATTATTATAGCACTTTCACAATACAACAACGGCCACGTTTGCCGAGAATAGATGCTTAGAAAACTACTGATTCGCGCCAAAAATTATAATAAGGCGTGTGACAACGAAACTTTTGAGTTTCCTGACAGATTTTGAGGGCGTAGGCTGGGGCTTACGTAGTGCATATTCCGTAACAATGAAGTAAAATGTCATCCGAGAGGTCCAAGACTGTTAATAATATATCAAGTTCCCAAAAAATTCATTAAACAAGTGTCACACAAGTATGAAAAAAATAACATTAAAATATATGACGTCACGCACGCAGCTTTCACCATGATCTTAAGAAATGAATCTTTGGCAGTTATCTACTCCTTAACTAAAGTAACGTGCATATTGTCATGGAATTATCTACAGCCGTGTTTCCAGAGAACGATTTATCTCTGTAACACGATAATATATATCCCTTAAGTGTAATGGCGGATCCAGGAGGGGGGTTGGTAGTAGGGCAATCGCCCCTCCCCCCCCCGAAGCCTGTGTTAGCGCGCCCCCCTTAACTTCAGTGGTCTTACTCCACCTCCTATCACGAATTAAGACAAATGAGTGAAATACCTGTGAGCACACGTTAACAGTATTTGTGCGGCGAAGGGTTTTTTCTACAATAGTAAAAACAGTCATGACCACGTCCCCTCTACAGTGATATTTCAGGCGTCCCCAACCCGCTTAATAAAGTAGCTGGGTCCGCTACTGCTTTAACGTTCCTTTAAACAGGGTTTTTTTCTAGCTTAAGTTACACTAGCGTAATTGGAGAGGTATGAGAAGGAAACTGGAAACGTAAGTTAATACCAGCATGGAGCAGCTTAAGATTTTCAGCACTTGCATTGGTTTTCTAAGCGATTTGCATTCCGCATGTGACTGAATTGTTCTAACCAGTGTAAATATGTGTGATGAGTCATGACCCATAACGATTGGGCAGTTGAACTCAAAACAACAGCGTCATTGGCGAGGGCTGGCAAGGTATATTGACCACAAAATATCTTTAAAAACTGAATGGATGGTACGTGCTTGAGGTTGTGCATGCTCTGTTAGTGTAAATGTTTAAGTGAAACTTTGCGGTTTAGCGTGTGAGGACTCTGATACAATTACGTGGCACACCGTATCATTAATTTCCCTTAATTGTACTCTTCATTATTCCCCTCTGCACACTCGCAGTGCCCACGCAGCAGTATTGGTCGCGTGAGGTTCCTTGACGTGCACCGAACTCAATAATCGTGCCGGCATTCTTGCATATCAGACACTGTCGAAAGGCGCCTGTGCTATGGTGGTGGTGGTAAAAAACATTTATTTCAGAAAAAGTTTACTAGAGAGTGCCGACGTGGCCCATCGGCGTGCTAGAGTGACAAGACCCTATTCCGGGACGCCAGTGGAGCTGGAAGCTGCCCGTGCGCGCTCCACCAAGGAGCGTTGTGCAGCCAAGGTAGAGCAGCCGAGCAGGTGCTCCTCCCAAGCCTCTCTAGTTGGGATAGGAAAAAGGGATGAGAAAGGGACGGGATTAACTGGGCACGATGCTACGACGTGATATGTGTCGGCGAGCACATGACAGGTCGAGCAGGTGCCATTGATTTCCGGCAAAAAGTGCCTGGCGACCGCCGGACTGATAAAGGTGTTCGTCTGCAGGCGGCGTAGCAGTCGTTCGTCCGCTTTCTCCAAACCGCGTACGGGGTCCGGGTAGAGGCGGCGCGAAGCCCGGTAATAAGCCAAAATTTCGCGAAAGCGCGTCAGGTTGGTATTGCCAGATTCCGTCTCGGGACATGGAGGGGCAACAGCCCGGACAGGAGAAGCGCGGGCAGCGGCATTTGCCGCCTCGTTGCCGGGCAGGCCCGAGTGGCCTGGGGTCCACACTATACGAATGGGATGAGGGTTAAAGCGCCAAGAGGCTGCCTATAGTAGGCTAGCCGCCAGCGGAGCAATGGAACCCTGAAGGTACTGAGAACAGGCCGAGCGCGAGTCCGTCAGGATGGTGCGTGAGGTAGGGTGAGAGGCGGCCAAAGCTATGGCAACCTCTTCAGCGTGCGTTACTGTGTCTGCTCGAAAGGAGAGGCCATCTACGTGTTTGCCCTCTGTAATCACGGCAGCCGTGAAGTGACCCGAGGGGGAGGGACCCGAGACGTCCACGTAGAAAACACCAGGACGATCGGAGTGTCGCGTATGAAGGGCCGCGGCGCGTGCTAGTCTACGGCCAGGATGGAGGTCAGGGTTCATATTACGGGGTAAAGGTTCCACCCATAGCTTTTGACGCCAGAGCTCTGGTACCGGCTGCAGAGGGTCTTGGTCAGATATCGGGTTAAGGCCAAGTCTGTGTAGAAGACGGCGCCCTGAAGGCGTCTGTGACAGTCGATTAATTTGGTTAACGCGATGAGCTTCGCGCATCTCTGCAAAGGTGTTGTGTACCCCCAGAGCCGTGAATCGGCTGTTGGAAGTTGCAATAGGTAGGTCCAGAGCGCGTTTGTATACTGAACGAAGAAGGACGTCCAGCCGGTGCTCGTGTCGACGACGCAAGCGAAAGTAAGGCAAGGCGTAGAGGACGCGACTGGTCACAAACGCGTGGGCCAATCGGAGGGACTGAGACCCGCGGAGGCCGCCGCGCTTGGTAGAAACTCGCCGTATCATGCGGCTCACCTTTTTGCTGGTGCGTCTGAGGCCTGCTATTGTGCCCTTTGGATCCAAGGACGATGTGAGGTGAAGGCCAAGAACCCGAATATATTGCACTGACGGGACGGGCCCGGACGGAAGAAAAATTTGAGGCGGCGGTAGCGGAGAGACTGAAAGAAGAGCCGATTTAGCTGGAGAGCACTCCAGGCCGCATGAACCTGCGTAGGTGTCCACCAGAAGGACAGCCTTTTGGAGGCGTTCTTCGATTTGCGCTAAGGAGCCGGTGTTGGTCCAGATTGTGATATCGTCCGCATATAGTGCGTGTTGTATTCCCTCGACCTCGCTTAGAAGAGAGGGGAGGTTCATCATCGCCAGGTTAAAAAGCAGAGGAGACAGGACTGCCCCTTGAGGTGTACCCCGCGTGCCTAATAAGTACGGGCCGTGTTCGGTAGAATTAAGGCGAATGAAGGCGGTGCGATGTGATAAAAAGGCGCCAATATAGTTGAAAGTCTTCTGCCCGCAGTTTGTGGTAGACAGGTTAGTGAGTATAGTGCTGTGTTTGACGTTGTGTAACGCCCCGTGGAGATCGAGAGCGAGCACGGCTTTATCGTTATGGCGCATAGTAGTCGGCTCTATGATATCGTGTTGAAGCTGGAGCAGGACGTCCTGCGCCGACAGATGCGGGCGAAAGCCAAACATCGTGTCGGCAAAGGTGCTCCTGGCCTCCAAGTAGGCGGAAAGGCGTTCGCGAACCATGGTTTCCATGAGTTTGCCTGCGCAAGACGTAAGTGAGATAGGTCTCAGTGCCTCAATACTAACGAACTTTGCCGATTTGGGAATGAATGTCACGACCAATGTGGTCCATTCCGTTGGAAGCGGAGAACCGTCCCATATCGAGTTTATAAGCTGGAGTAGCGAGAGGTGTGCTTGGTCGGGAAGATTTGCCAGGAGCGATACTGTGATTCCGTAGCGTCCAGGGGCCGTGCCCCGTCGCATTTTCGTGGGTGCTAATCGTAAATCAGAAAGCGTGTATGGGGCGTCGAGGTCGGTGTTAGGGGCGCCGGAATACGTATATGCTGGGCCTGAGGGATCAATTGTGCGGCAGATGTAGCGGTCACAAAGTTCTCGCGTGAGTTCATCCGTAGTGCCCTGAAATGCATGCAGAACACGGTGGAGCTGGCGTTGCGTTTCTCCCCTGGTGGTGGAGGGATCGAGAAGGCTTTTAAAGAGTCGCCACGCACTCTTAGAGCTCATCTGGTTTGCAGCCTTCGAACAGGTGTCTGCCCAGTTAGCATCGGAAAGTTGTGCGGAGTATGCGGCCGCCTCTGCAGTGAGCGCCTCAATGCGAGCGCGAAGTTTCCGATTAAGTTTGTTGCGTTTCCAGCGCCTTATGAGCCCACGGCGAGCGTGCCAAAGATGTAGGAGGTGTGGATCGATTGCAGGAGTCAAATTAGAGGTTGCGAGGGTGCGAGTGTTCGCTTGTTTCATATGAAGAGCGTATGATGCCCACGCTGCATATTCGGTCGAGGAGAGGCCGGCGGGGAATGGTTGCATTCTGAACTGAGTCCAATCGGTCAGACAGGCTTGGCCCCAGTGTTGGCGCATTTTCTGC